ATATATATATATATAATGAATATTATAAACGATGTTTCTCGTACTGAAGTATAGAAACTTATCTCTTCACTTCTTCAAAATGATATTAATGTTAGATATCAACGTCCATTTCTTATAGAATGTTATGTCGCGTAACAAAATTGTGATGCTTCCTAACACACTAACACTACCCTGCGTGCAATGCATTGCTGATTGAAGACAAACAGAGCAACGCACTTGATGCAGGATTGCGTCTGTGTGCCGCGATCTGTCTGTGCGACTGTTGAATACATTGCTCCGTGACTGCTATTATTAAAGAAAGAGAGTTATGTAGAGATAATTATTTAGAGAATAGGATAAATACCATTAGAGGGAGCATCCACTTTTCATATCCTTCGATACATCTAATAGAGAAAAAATCGTGTATTGTGTTTGGTAAAAAAACGAATTGTGCAATAAATTCATTTAAAATTCATTCTTAGTTATATCATATCTCGATTCTTTATCGCAGATGATATTATATGATTATGTATAATATTACCGGTTTTTTTACCTTCTTTTGCCACATATATATTTTATTGAAGAAATAACGTTTAATCATACACGTTTATTTATATGGAATTTCGAATAATAGCATTTTTAAAAGATTTTTCATTGAGATCCAATCATGTAAATATACGATGAAAGAAGTACTCCTGCTGGCTGAGAGTGGGTTAATGCTGATTATGATGGTGCCTATGATCTTGATATGCATTTTTGTCATACTGCATCCAGTCAGCCCATTTGTTTAAATTTCCATAAGCATTAGGCTCCTGTGACAGACGAATAGATGCCTTCGATATTCATAATTCAGAGATATTGCATATATTAACTGTAACTAATACTTTGAAAGCCTGGAGCTTGAGAATTAGGCAATTTAGGCATTTGAATCTGAAATCAAATGAGGTTACCATATTTTATAGCTTTATATGGATATTATTTTCTTCGGTAGGCACAAAGATCTCTTTGTCGAAATATCATCTAATAATATAATTATTAATTTTCAATCCTCATTTTAAATAGATATAGTTTGTACATAGGCTTCCAAGGTATTATAGTGCGTTATATATTATGATACAAAAAATTTATGTGTGTACATACATATTGACTTTCATTCATTTTTATTGAATGATCAATATTTAATATTTTATTGTTGTAATTTTTAATTTTACTTTTGTAATTTTTTCTGATAATTCTAAGCACGTAAATAAATAGGTGTGTATACATAGATATATATTAAGGATAGATTTTCAAAAATTGCAAAACATGTCAAAAATTATCCTTAAGACTCGGAAATGTTTTTTTTTTCTTTTTTTTTCTCTTTCTCTCTCTCTCTCTCTCTCTCTCTCTCTCTCTCTCTCTCTCTCTCTCTCTGGAGAGAGATTTCTGTACATTTTATAAATATGATATATGATATTACATACAACACATGATGTTTATTATAGATTAAAAAGTGAAAGAAAAAATTTAAAGTTTTGGCTTTATTCTTAATAATATGTAATATTACCAATATATGTATTATTATTATTATTATTATTATTATTATTATTATTATTATTATAACTATAATTATAATAATAATGATAATTATATAATTATAATTACAAAACTTGCCAAACATTTTTCTTCATTTCGAACTGATTTTAATTTTGAACATTACGATTTTCAATAAGAGGTATACATATTTAGCTTAAAAAATTTTTCAATTGAGATGATATGCTTTTATAATACACGAATCGTATTGTTCTTTCGATATGTTTTTCAATTCATATTATTAATGTTATAATTATAGGTTTTTCAGAACAAGATCATACACTTACCAGCAACTTAATCCCTCCTCCTTGATGCCCCGGTGTAGAACCTCCCCCGGCTTGTACAGACTCAACCGAGCCCGCGGGTAGACTCTGGTATCCTTGATGCATCTGCATTTTTACGCCTCTTGTGTATTGTCTGTGATCATGCCGATTGTTGTTGTTTTCATATTCCAAGTACGATTGCAAATCATCGTCCACTTGTCGTTTTACAGCAGATGCCGAATTCTCCGGATAAGACACCCAAAAAGACGTTGGTTCTTGGAGCAGAGCTCTACTCATTATAGGATTCTCTTTGACAGGGCTTGCCGGATAAGAAGCCGTAGTTACAGGCTCAATGATGGATATTTTTTTGAGAATAGCATCTAAGAGAGTGTTGTTAATCGGTGAAGCGCTATCAGTTAATGGAACCCTTGGCAGTTCTGCCGAACTGTCCGGAGTACCAGTATTAGCCGTTATCGCATTCTTCGCAACCGCGGTAATGTTTTTTTGCAGATCCGTCAACATATCGAATACTTGACTAAGCTCAGCCATTCTCTGTTGAAAAGGAAGTGTTGGATCTACTGTTGGTTTCGCAAAGGGAAATATACTGGAAAAAGGTTTAAAAGGTTTTTTTGCCGTAGCGGCGGTGGTTGTTGCAGTTTTTTCATACGCTATTAGATCATTCAGAGTTGCTATCATGTCGCTCTTTAGATTGCCAAGCTCCGACAGTATAATATCAACGATCGCGTCCTTAGCAGCTGCAATGGACGATGCATTGTCCAAGGATCTTGCATACTTGTCCGATAAAACATCATCAGACTTTAGAGATCTCATAAAATTGCTTTTTGCAATTGAGCTATCATCTGCTTCTTGCGCAGTCGTATTTAACTTTATACTGTCAAATAGCTTGTCCAGAAAGTCCGACACCTTTTGGGTGTATTCAGTCGGGCTGGGAATTACAGAAGATGGTAACCAAAAGCTGGCTGGTACTATAGTGCTCTTCGGCGTGGGTATTTCGGTCGTTGTTGCTGGAGTGCTAGTGGCAATATTTTTGAAGAGCGTATCTAGGAACGGTGACTTCTTTGCAGTGAACGTGCTCGGATCCATCACTGATCCGAAAGAGCCACTTGGCCCGACAGAGCCGCTTGGTCCGAAGAGCCCACCTGGTCCGAAAGGCCCACCTGGTCCAAAAGGTCCGAATATTCCCGGTAAATATTCCTTTGGCGTATCACTAGCGGCTGTTTTTGTTGCCGTATTTTCTACTATTTGTGGATCTTTTGGATAAGACAATGAGCTCGGAATAGAATTGATGTCGCTTGCGGAAGAAGGCGCTTCTATGCTTCTTCTTTTGCGGGAGAAGGATGTTTTGCTCAAATCGGACATTATCTCTGGCGATGAGAATGGCGTAACGGGTCCGAATTTCGGACCCATTGGACCGAACTTTGAAGCGAATGGACCAAATATACCGCGTTCATGTATACCGCTATTGTCGATCGCTTCCTCTTTACCATCTTGTATTATATCTCGTTTATTAAATAAGGCATTTGTGCTATCAGTGCTATCTAAAGGGAGTCCACTTGCGCTATACGATATAATCGGCTTAACATCTGCCATATTATATGCAACTGGTCCTAAACCACCAAACAAGTTGCTCAGCATATCCGTCTTCTTAGAGATTAACGTCTTCGGATCAACAAACTTCGGGAAGAGTGGAGATTTCGGTGCGTAAGGCACGGATATCGTGTCGATTCCTGCCGGAGGTCCAAGAGCTCGCGAATAAACTATAAGATAGTAAACGATGCACTAATAATCAATAAATAAAAGTATTTTTTACATAATTACACAACAAAAGAAATTAATAAATTAAAAAGAGTTGAATAAAAATACTTTATGAAATTGGATTTGAAATTGTCAAAGTTGTTCATTTCTTTTTAAACGTATCTAATTTGATTTTATTTATTTTGTGAAAAAGAAAATATAATTATATATATATATGAGAAATAAATCTCTCATCTTTCTAAAGAATTAATTAAATATACCTTATTTTTATATTTAATATTTGACATTTAGAAGATTATTTGAATTTGGATCATCTAAAAGACATTTTAAAAATAAGAAATCTCTAATTTAAAAAGAAATACTTGCAATTGTCTCTAATCTTTCATTTTTTTATAAAATATCAAAGACAAAATAAAAAATATGATATTACCAGGTTTGGATACAAAGCTTGTCCATGACGCTCCGGGTGGAAGTGCCGGAACTAAACTGGCAGAGAATGCCAGCAGGTAGATGGAAAGTAAAAGTGTTTTCTGTCGGAGCATATTGCACTAAGTAATATGGTCTACACTGCGACCGTGCTTTTATAATAATCATTAATCAGTAATCCTTGCAAAGTCTCCGGGATTACTTACATGGAGAATGCTGTGGTCCGAGCTCCGCACGACGAAATCTCATTAAAATAATCCACTCACCTCATACAGAACTTATAGTTGTGTATTTTATTTAGCCGATGCAATTCCTTCTTAAAGAAATGCAATTTCCTTCTTAAAGATGTAAGTACGTCTATTTTAAACAACGGAAGATAATAATTATACTTTTTAAAGAGAATATCAAAAATACAGGAAATAATGGAGAACTTATCTTTTTATATATCCAATATTTTCAAGTCATTTAGTCATTCATTTTTCTTGTTCACTACGTATATTAATATATATTTTATTTGTAATCGTTTTTTTACAAATGAGTCATGTGTATTGCATTTGTCAGTTGTTTCCAATAATGGAAACGCAAGCTGCTTCAATTATTTCACCTTATTTTGACTCGAATTGGAGTTTCGGTAAAATATTCAAGATTGTTGTAAAATTTGCCATTCTCTTTTTAATTTAAGCCTTATATTATTGTTAACATGGATAACTTTGAGCAACGTGAGTAACATAATTTTTTAATATAATTAATCTTCGTAGAATTAAAAATAAATAATGGTTGCATATAGATTGTGGCTGTCAATTCCACACTTATTAACTAATCATGTCTATTTATTTACGTAATTAATTCATGTCTATTACATTATTTATCTTATCCACACGATTTACAATTAAATACAAAAATTATTAAATTTAATGAACATATATATATATAAAATAGCGTTTTCAAAATTCAAATATTAATTAATAAATTAAAACAATAACAAAGTTGTTGATATAAAATATAGAATTAAATCTTAATTTTAACATAATAGAAAAACTAATCAAGATATTTTTATAAATTGCAGAAAACGGTATTGACACCGTTGGATCAGTAGATAAAGATATTTCATCATTGTATTCAGCTCTAAAGCATGATTACGAGGGAAACAATATAGCAAATATAATAACGCAATTACTACACATATATCAGCCAAAAGATGGTATTATTGCATACGAATGTGTGTTGAGAAAAGTCCAAGATTTACTAGAAGACTGTAATTCTAGAAAAAAACAGTTATTGCTTTCGGTAATACCTGTTCCAGATAATGTGCCAGATCACAAGATTAAAGAAGTTTTTCATACAACTACAGGTTTTATTAAACTTAATCTACAGGAAAAGTAAGTCTTCTCTCTTTACGCGCGCGCTATATTCTTTATTCTTTTATATATTATTATCTCTTTCTTATATAGTTTCATGTCTCATATTATCATATCAACAGCAATATGTTTCAAAATATGTTTGACGTAAAAAATATGGACGGAATAATGGACAATAATATTTTATCATCAAAACAAAGTTTTTTATATAATAAGAATGCGTCAAATTTTAAGTCATCACTTTCCGAAGCATTCCCTTTTCGAGGTTTCCCTGAGAACGAAATTTCAACAATTCACAGTCATGTAAAAAACGTAAACCACTTGTACAAAACCATAGAATGCGAATTTCCTCGTTCAGAAATTGTAGCTGATGTCAGTCCAAATTCTGCATCCTATATTAATCGGCAGGCTGATTCGTTGAGACATCAATTAAGTAATAATCCAAAGAATTGGCTGGACAGAAATAATAAATATCAGATGTCATTTTACCAACAATATCTGTTTAATAAGAAATACAATACACCTACTAGAATTAGTACCGTTAATGAACCAGATCTTTGGTATTCATCATCTCAGACGATATATCAGGTTTGTAATAAAAATTGAATAAAAAAGTGAAATAAACGAGCCGATATTAATTATAAAGATTTCTAATTATAGGATACATGCTCTATAAAGACATATAAAGATAGTGAGATAATAGCGAATTTGTGGCAAGATAAAGTTCCACGACAATTTAATAATGTTAAATACGAATATAAAAAAAGTGAAGATAATAATGCATTCAATAAAGATAAAAAATTTGGCATTTCCCAAATGATAATCGATATTGGCCAAAATGCAACAATTAAACAGACAATTAAAGATAATATAGATATGTGTTGGAACGAAGACCAGAATATTGTCGTAGATGTATTAAAGATAAAATTTGGAATCTTAATTAGCTTTTTTTCCCAAAAGTAATTAAATTCATTAAATTTTACAGACGGACGATCTTTTGGCAACGATGCGCGATAAGCTTAAAACAAGCTTAAAGAATTTTTTAAAACGAGCACAAGAAGGAACGTTTATTGGTAATATATCATTATTTCATTTATTTATATCACACATATATTAATCAGATAAGGTATAAATTTATAAAAAAGTAATTTTTCGTGTACGTATGTACAGAATTGTCGACTTTTCCACGCACCAGATCGCATCCACAGTCGAGCTCCTTAAATTTGGTATGTTTTACGTCGAAAGATCAGAAACCTGGAATGCCACGCAAAGTTTCAGAACAAAATTTTACATCTAGTATCTCAAATAATAACAGCAATTGCTGCTTATTTTTAAATCAGCAAAATACGGATATTAACTTAAGAAAGAATCAAAGAGAATTGGACAAAAAAACGAAACAAAAAGCATTTAGTGGATTGCAAAGCAAATGTAATACTCAGGAAATCAATAAAGTAACTGAATCGCAATTACAGCAAAATAATCTAGATTACATTATGGAAAAGAAAGTGATTACACTTGAATGCAAAGAAAATAATTCAGAAGAATCAATGCACGGGTAAATGTGTAATTATTATTGTATTTAACAGATTAATCGCGCGACAATACTAATAATAAAATGATTTTTAATTCACACAGATGCAAGATAGAATCAAAGTCGAACGATATAAATACAGAAAACAATTTTCGAGTTCATTCAATGTCTCAACTAGCTGCGTACAAAAAACATTATTACGACACGTTATTGAGTGTTCAAAGAGCTAAAGGTTTACATCATCAAAATCATATTTTAATATTACATTATATATATTTTGTTTAGCAAGCCTTTAGATATGACTCGCTGATACCTCGCGTGTAAAATATAATAAATCATAGTTGGTGAGGTATGTGATAACATTAAATGCGCTGATTACTTCGATTTTTTCACAGTCGCAGTCACGAATTCTTTAGCATCTTCCTCGGATCATTTAACGGGTTACGATGATCCGTATTACTCGAATTACATAGATCAGCAGCAACACCTGTTTCATCAACAGCGTCATTTCATGACGAGACCGCAATTTTTAACGTATCCGGCTGAGTTATCCGGATTATCAAACGTGCATGGTAATCAATACAGTTGGGCGAAATCAGTCTATAAATATTTATTACTGAAGCAATTAAGACTTCAACAGCAGGTAAGAAGATGTAAAGACATAAGTAAGCTTATTTCAGAACACGTGTTTACTCACCGTATATGATTACAGACTTCGCCCCTGTATGCCCGAAATCAAAAGTAAGTCATTTATATATATGCTCAATAACTGAAATATATTTGAAATATGATTCTCTCTCTCTTTCTCTCTTTATACTTGATATTGAAATCGTATTTATGTAATGGTAACATTTTGTTTCTTCATTCAAGTGGTTGGATTCATCGTTACATCGGACCTGTGTATCCCTATTCCTTTACGTCAAACGAAAGTGCTCAAGCGAAGCACTTCATACGCCGTAAGAGTTTGGAAGACATAGTCGGAAAATTGAAGGAGATTGAACGCAACAATGTTAACAATTGAGCGATTTTTCTCTTGCATTGAAGTGAGAAATTCCGTTGAGCGGTACTTATAAAGTTGCATGCACAAATGGTATAATTTTATAATTTCTGTTCATTCCTGTGTATGGCAGCTCTAGATATCAAGATAAAGAACTAGTTGATACAATAATATCAGTAAGAATGTTAAAAAACTCACATAATCATAGATTGATAAAATATTAAGATAAATATAAGTATAATACATATATAAGCTCGACATGGATTTTTTTTACCGCTCTCGTAAATGTTCATATTTTTCTTTATATTTGCTTTGCTTTTGTATTGAAAATAATTACGTGTTATTATGTATTGATTATAAAAAGATTATCGTATATAACGATTTATATGTACACATCTCTCGTCGGATATCTTGATTCCTTATAAGACATGAATCTCTTATAAGGTTCAATCGCACAACGATTTTGATAATTTTGTTTATATTTTAGACGATTGCGTGACATAATGGTTTTTCAATGGTATACGCAGAATATAATGTTATATTTTTAGCTATCGCCAATTGAACCGTATTTAACGCACTTACTAATGAATGGACATTATATTCTGTTTGAGTAACATTACACAAAGTTCACTCTAATGACTAGATGATTTATGATATATTCTTAAATAACATACAGTCACACGCACAACTTCGCACAATCAATAGTGTATATAATAATACTCGTTTTCGAGTTATTCCTAGATGTACAAAATGACGTTTAAAAGAATACGTGATAACGCTAACTTAGATGTTACGTGACTCATCGATCATTTATTGTCCAGATCATTCGCTACCAGCGCGACAAAATCACCAAGATGCTTCGTCGCATAATATCTGCGTCATTCTTGGTAATCTGTCAAGCCGTATTCATTCATATTCATTCTCAGACCTCTGCTCAAGACATTCAATTCACGATTCGCCTAATAATTCTACAATTAATGTGTCGCTACAGTTTGATGTTCATTCTAAATATTGGCAGCATCACATTATGCACTCACATGTAACTAAATATATAAATACAATGACATTATCAGTATCCGCGCGAATATATCTATATAAATATTTTAGAACACATTCGACATATTTAAATAAAATGAACATTCTTACTTGAAACATACAATGTTATGTCTATTATTTGGTGAGAAATTAGGCCAATTAAATTATCCTGCTAGAAGAATTAAAGCGAAAATTGTCAGAAATTTATACTGTGAAATTAAATTCCTAATATTTGAAATCGTGAAGGAATACATTTTTCAAATAATTAAGAAGTTTATTTTATACAATGATTTTCTGTCGATTCCTTTTAGCTCGCCTGATTTTTGGAGGATATCAGGTCATGTACAGACTTGGATTGTCATACTATCACTATAAGTCATTGTCGATCGAACCTAGTATATAAAAAGAATCTGCGCTTATTAATCATAATTGAAATTTATTGCCCGAATTATAATTTATTCAAATTCTAAGAAAACAGTGCTTCATGTATCACAAACATGCTGCTATTTATTAATTGGCTTCGTTGAAGCAAATATAATTGTCGCAAATATTGAAGTCAAATGACATCATTTGATCTTTATTATAGCAATAATAATGACTTTAATCCAGACAGCTAGTCCTTTATTTGAAAGTAACATCGTGTGTGTATATGTGCGTGTGTGTGTGTGGGTCAAAAAGCATGAAAATCTTATAAAATATAGACTTATTCTTATTGAGTATGAGTGTATGTGTGTTATAATATAACATTTACACGAAACATATATTTTTTAAAAAATTAGGATTATTTCGAATTAAATAATCGTGCATTTGTGTTATAATTTAACATATTTGTCGCTAATCCACTTGGATTTATCTAGAATATTAACTATATGAATGATAAATTAAAATGTTGTATAATGCAAAAAGTGACGAGAATGAGTGACAAAAGGGATTTTTTTGATGCATAAAAAAATTTTCATGCTGGTTTTATAAAGACATTACACTGCTATATGTGCCGAATTCAAATTCAAATATGACAAATTATAACAGATCTTAAAATTATAAGCCCTTGGATAAAAAGTCATTAAGAGAAAGAATGGATTCAATCGATACTACGTTCAAAGAGCGTTATATTTCTTCTGGCAGTGTCTGTACATTTTTTTTTAACTCAAAGGTAATTGCCTTATAATGTCAACTGACATTTTAGTTTATTCGTTTAGTTACTCTAAAGTGACATTATTAAGTTTGAGATATATTCACACTTTCAAACGTATCCCAGCATATCGATAATGGGCCACAGAAAAGTTACTCGTTATTTTTTATTGTGCCTAACAAAACACGAGTTATGACATTCTCAATATTTGCCACAACGAAGCTGCTGTATTACATGCTATTTTTCTTTATAAACCTATATGAACACGCATTTCTCTTACACTATTAATTGATTTAAGGTCGACGCATTAAAATTCAATAAATGTGTGATCTATATGCCTGTTTGCTACGTTTGTGTTTACATTCGTATCAAAAGACAAAATAGCTGTTTTAATAGTGGCCTTAATAAAGATTAACTAATATGTTTGCGTTTATTCAATCGTATAATAGATCGTGATAGATCGAATAAAAGAGAAACGAGGTATCAGAGAGAAATTCGCTTTAAGAATGTTACATATTAAAAGAGATTCAATAGCACGAGCAATCAAGAAACAAGCGCTCAATAGTTCTTCTAGGATGAATTGTACTTCTAATACGATATGTATGTACTAAAAAATACCTTGCTCTTTAAATTTATGGATTATTAAGAAGAGATAGTTGTACAAAAAAATGACTAGAGTTGACTCTAGAGTTTCTTATTAAAGCGGAAAAATAACACAATACGTAATACTGCTCATCTAGTAACTTTAAAGCTATGTAAAATGCCTAAAAATAGTGCGTATGTTTCTTTATAGGAACAGGGACGGACCATTCTTTTTTAAAATTTAACTAACTATAGCAAAACTTCTATTTTCTGCATTATATGAAAAAAGATAAAAATTACGATTATGTGTTTTAGATATATCCAATTTGTTAAAATTTAATGAAGAATGTAATCAACCATCTGTCAATTATTGTTTTTCAAAATTAATATTATTTAATTTGAGAATATTATACAGAATCATTTGCTTTAGGTAAAAATCAATTAAGCATAATCATTTTTTAAGTCCGTCCTTGTGTAAGAATGATACTATTGTAATATAATGAACACACTTCAGAGTTTACGAGCCAATTGGAATAATATAACAAATAATCGTTCCATGCATACTATTTCATTCATAGGGAGTAATAATGGATGCCAAACCGATCCTTCAGTGCAAACAATATTGAAAGAGTTGTATAATGTCATTTAAAAATTTTCAGAACATAAACTTGTTATTTGCAAAATTCTTTTTAATATGTCATAAGAATTTAAAATTTTCAATAAGGCTATTACGTAAAGTATATATATACACACACACATACTTTATATAATGGCCTTATAGAATTTTAAATTCTTATAACATATTTTATGTGTGTGTGTGTATGTGTATACACATACATACACACACACACATACACATATTAAACATTTTTTCAAGTATGCACGGAGCTCAAAACATATTGGCATCAAAATACGATAAAAAAATGATTATTATTCCAAATATATATATCGGTGTTACATGCTCTATAGTGGTCTTATACTTAAAATCCCGTTAAAACTTACTTAAATTTATTATTTGGTACATGATTGGAATGAAGTGGCATTATTTGCTTATCAAAGTTGGGCAGTCTGGTTTTGTGTCATGCAAAACGTCGAGAGACCCGAACTAAAGAAAATTTATCCTCTTGGCAGCAAAATGTACAAGGCAGCAATGACTTTATACAGGATCTTAAATCTTTGGACACGATGATTTCGTCCTGTAAAATTGGATAACAACAAACTTGATAAACCCTACAGTAAGTATGGGCTATGGTCTTTTTCACCTGTTGCATGTATGAAGTGTAACAATCATATATATATACATATGATTGTTATATATATGTATATATATATATGTATATCTTACGTTTACATTTTTTAAATCACATCTGGTTTTATGCACAGTTCAAAACACAGATGGAACATGTAAAACCAAAATACTGTGTTCTTCAGTCTCACTGTGCATTTTTTAATATAGAGAATACAAAATATGTGTTGAAGTCAGGCAAGTTTATATGCAAACAAGAGAAAGATATAAGATTTCAATTATGTAACAAGTAACACTTCAAGTACAGTTGCGGTCTAAGGAAAATATTCAACATAAAGTATATCATGTACTTGCTTTATAAAAAATTTTGTCACAAACTGTTTACAGAAATTGTTCGGTTAAACAGGTTTATTTTTTACCTAAAGTATGTGTGCTTCGTATTTCACAAGACGATCAGGCAAAGCTATAAGGATCGATAGTTTTGCTAGAGCAAGGTTGAACATCATCTGGTGGTGGGCGCCACTGTCCGGACCACATGGCGTTACGAATAATCACATTCGCGTCAGTAGCTTCTTCTCTGCCGCTGTTAGATGTACATTCTGCCTCCCAGTTTCGGAGGCCGTTCCGAGTCACTTGATTGATCGATCTAGTCTCGTTCATGTCACAACAATTCTGTGCGTCATTATTCACTGGCATTTGCTTAGTTTTACTTCTAACTTGCGTGCCACTATTTCTACGTTCGGCGTCGGACCACGAGTGAGGTTGCTCCACTGTAGATTGTAGAGGTAACTTTCGCGGCACTCGTCTAGTCTTAGCCTCCTCCGCGGTAACACAGCTAGCATCGACTTTACTGCTACCTGGTGCGTTTCCGTCACCAGTCGAACTACTATCACCTTCTTTCCTTCGTCTTCTCCGTCTCCTCTCAATCTCGGTATCTTCGCGTTGAGTATCTTCCCGATGAGTATCCTCGTTATTCGTATGTGTTTCTAAAATGTGTTGTTTGGCCGAAGCCCAATGGTCCTTTTTGTTGGCGTCTTGTTTAAGTCTTTCATGATTACCGCGATGGCCGCCGTTACTAGTGTTTGTGTCACTGTCCGTGTTGCGTTTCTTCGGTTGTTGATTTTTCACGGCCCACGAGGCAGGTCTTTTAGGACTACGTTCCTTCAAAGTGACCTGCATTTTAGGTTATGTTTATACTATGATTGATAAATAATAGTTGCACCATAAAATAGATTATACATTTACCCCGGAGGAGGAAGAATTATCAACAGGTTTGTAGAGTTGTGTTGGTGTATGACTACGAGAATCTTGACCTTTACAACTTGATCCATTCCGACAATGTATCCACGAAAGTAAAAATGCTAAGAGAGCGCATGAAAGTCCCACTACTGCTGCGGCAGTCAGTTGGGAACGTGTGCGTCTTGGTACCCAGCCTCCACTATGGTATTCCCATACTGTACATGCTAGTAAAGCGCTACTTGCTGCATATGACAAACCTATGCCAGTGAATACTATAGCATTCTATAAAAAATAATAGATTCTATTACATGTGTTTAACAGTATCAATACTTTGCAATTGTTAATATTTAAAAATATAATTAAAACAAATGTTATTTATACATTTATATTGTAATTAAATACTACTTACCAGCTTAGCCCAATTTAAAGGAAGGATGTAAATGACGTGCGAAATATCAAGGAAGAGAAGGGCTGCGGTGACCAAGAAACAGAAAACAGCTACAAAGATCATGAATCGTAAACGATCTGCTAAAGGCAGCATAAAAAGGCTGATTTTGGCAGTACCAGAACTGCATAAAGTGGCCAAACAAGCTGCAGAGGATATCTACAAAATATAATTAATATCTATATGTGTAAAACAATCTTATTATTTTAATCACACATAATATGTTTCTAGTTTATCATTTCATATATATAAGTAATTTTATACTTACAAGTAATAAGAGTCTAACAACACCCGTAGCTGTTTTAAGATGTCCTTGTATGTCACAATAAATAACCACATGGCTCGCACGGGACCAAGCCAGAGCATTGGATGAAGAGCCAGGCCTGTGATCACTATTACCATAGTGACCATGATAGTTAGCATGTGAATCCCAAGAGTGGACTGTTGAATGGACTCCTGGCGAATCCAGCTCCGATGATTGGGAGCTGATTCGCCCCCCTGTCCTACTGCCTGCTATTGATATAATATTGAAACTATTGTACAGAGTCATATATATGCAATTACATAAATATGATTTTAAATAAGATAGATAATGGCAGTTAGTCAGAGTTTTAACAACTACATGTTATTTTAACGTTTCAGAGAACAACTATAGAGCAATAATTGAATCAGCATTGATTTTAAGAAATTTGGCAATATTATATAAATTTCAAATAATATATGAGCATTAATTAAAAAATTAAAATTAATTGATTGTACATACCAATCTCGAAGTCCTGAATATCTTCGGGTCTAGAATATATGGCAGGTGGTGGTTCTAAGTCGCGTATTTCTTCTAGGAGAAGCACTTCTATTTCCTCGGCTGCGTATAAATCGGAGACCGAGCGAATAGGATAATGCCGAGTCTCGCTCATTACTCAAGTGCGCTCGCTCATTTACTCCTTCCTGCCTGCTGTCGTACTTTTCTACTTGACCTGTCAGCGACCAGCATGCATTATCTAATCGATTCGAAGACAGGTCCACCTGTCTACCAGCCATTGCCTGTTCATATTGTGTGCCATTTTTACCTTTGCAGGCAACAATACTCCTCCGCCTTCAGGCCACACCTGCAGGAAAAAGAAGCAAGATTATATAGTAACATTGAATAAACAGATTATAGTTTATATAATGTAAAAGAGAAGATTTTATATAGTTATAATCTTTAAATATTTTATACAAATCTTTCTGTGTATTTCACTAATTAAATTTTTCTACATTGAAATGTAACTTATTTTATCAAGTTAATAAAAATGTTACTTAAATCTCTTATCATCCAAAAAATATATTAAATTTTTTATTATTAAACTCGACAAATTAATGTAAGCATGTACACCAAATGTTGTAAACAAATATATTACATATTGACAAACACATGATATTTATTTAATACAAACAAGACTGTCTCATGTCACGTCGATGCGTTTGACATACTCGAGATTAAAGTGCAAGCGAGCAATGGTAGATGGTTTGATCGCATGAATAAAATTTTAATTTAATGTATATGACTCAACTATTGATTAACATGAAAAATATTTCAAATTTTTAATGACAAATCAAGTGTTTTTCCTTCATTGAATCGTTCTGTCGCTCCAGATCCACATGTGGTTGTCAGATTCTTATCCCAGCGATATCTTAAATGAATGCCATCGCGTCGAGAAAATCGCGTGCTATCGCCGAGATATTTGCGAATACCTACCTCGAATTTACGCTCGTCAATCGCGACGTGTAGATCACATTTTTCCGAGATTTTTCACGGTGAGCTCATTGACCGTCCAATGGATAGCCGCCATTGCCTTTTTGCTGTTTTTGCCCATGATCTGCGTCCATCACAACGACCTAGAAACAACAGATGGGGCAACTTGTCTCTCTCTTTATTCATTGGCCGAACGGCAAAAAATGGTCGTGGATCATTTGGAACGGAAGAATCAATTGGGAAGATCGTCTCCGCTCAGAATTATTTCCTTATCTTAATAACTTTGACATAATGTCGCGTGTTTTTATATTTCGGAAAAAAATATGAAATCGCAATGTGCGATCAACTATGTATATATAATGTGTAATTTAGATACGCGATGCAAATTTGAATGCGTGGAAAAGGCGCGACGAGTTTGATGCGCGTCCGCAATTGTCGCTACCGCGATTCAATGCGTAGGCGACACAAGGCATAAGGTACAATGTACAAGGCGCGCGCTGATCAATGCGAACGCGACTTGCGGTCGAGTTACGCTCGTATGCGACTGGGCGGGCGGCCTCGAAGTCTTTTCGTGCTTCCCATTTTCTCGTGGTGTGGCACGTCCACCGTGATCCACTGACGTTTCCGCTGTGCCATCGCATGGCCGACGTGTGCATTCCGAGGCTCGCGTGGTACTCGCTGTGTCACGAGCTGTGTCGCCGTTGAAGAAAGCCATCTCGCCGCACCGACATCCGCATCGGCGCACCTAATCACACCGTGTAACGATCTCCCGAAAAGTGAGTGAACAAAAGGAACAGCCGCGTGCGAAGGTGGCCGTTCTACAGCGCGTGCTTAAACGTTTAATGCCCGCGCGCGCGCGACATTGGGCGGAGAGAATGAACGGACGACCGCCCCTGCGTTGAATGGCTATGTCGACCACGTTTTGTCGTGGTTGATATAATCCGGTGCGAACTGGATTGGTGCGGTAAATCATAGCTATCTATAATATTCCGATCGTGTGATTTTCGTAGAGAGAAACCCGTCGTTCCCGGCTTGATCGACGCGCGGGCCACATTGCCTGCTCGTCACCGTTGTCGTCGTCGTCTTCATCTTCATCATCGTCATCGTCCACCAACGGGCGAACTAGAGTGCGCGCGACAGCGATAAATCCCCAGCATTGGGCACGTTGTAACGCCGCGACCACGCGTCCTCACGCACACCAGCAGCGATGTCGAACGAGGAGACCTCCGCCGACCGCAATGTCGAGATCTGGAAGATCAAAAAGCTCATAAAGAGCCTCGAGATGGCCAGGGGGTAAGTAGGTCGGCGCCAACGTTGCCTTGTCTTATACTGTCAGCTGTTACCGTTGCGCGGGCCATCCTGACATATGGCTTCGTGGAGCATGTGCTCGCTCGCCGTGCGCTGCGTTTAAACGCCGCGATCTTATTGCAACCGATATATGTGTTAACCTTTATTAATATAGTTATTTGTCAGAAATTCTTATATTGTAGAAAAAGTATGTAAGTCTCGTGTGATTAGGGCAATGGCTTAGAAGATTTCTCCACAGCAATCTTTTAATGATATTCAGCAGCGTCTAGGTATTTTAAAACATGTATATGTCTTTGCAGGAATGGTACAAGTATGATTTCATTAATCATACCTCCAAAGGACCAAATATCAAGAGTAAGCAAGATGCTGGCGGATGAATTTGGCACAGCATCGAATATTAAGTCACGTGTAAATAGATTATCTGTTTTGGGTGCAATCACATCGGTACAGCATAGGCTAAAGCTATATACTAAAGGTAATTATATTTTTCATTAATATTAATATATATTTACTTATTAATACAACAGAGTATATGAGAATCTAGTTTTATATACAGTTGCAATATATATATTTAATTCTTTCTAACTGTAGGAAAATATGTTACATTTAAGTCATTTATTATGTGTGCAATATTGCTATTTATGATTATTAATTATAAATATTAATATATTTTTCAGTGCCTCCAAATGGCCTGGTAATTTATTGTGGAACTATTGTAACGGAAGAAGGAAAAGAAAAGAAAGTCAACATCGATTTTGAACCTTTCAAGCCTATTAATACTTCTTTATATCTTTGTGATAATAAGGTATGTTTTGTAATATTCTCATATTTGCATATATGTTTCGCTGTATTTATGCATAATTTTTGTATAAATTATATTACATTTTGCAGTTTCATACAGAAGCACTCACAGCATTACTTGCTGATGATAACAAATTTGGTTTTATTGTTATGGATGGTAATGGAGCGTTGTTTGGCACGCTACAAGGCAATACACGTGAAGTATTACATAAATTCACCGTGGACCTTCCCAAGAAGCATGGTATGTGTGATATATTCAAATACTAAGAAAAAAAAAATTAAAATCATTTATTTTCATCATCGGTTTTTCAAGAATCAATAGAATAAGATAGATCGGATATATATCAGATGTTGTAAAAGTTATTAATTTTAGGCAGAGGAGGTCAGTCTGCGTTGCGTTTTGCCCGATTACGTATGGAAAAGCGGCATAATTATGTTCGAAAAGTAGCTGAAGTTGCTACTCAATTATATATCACTAACGATAAACCTAATATCGCTGGATTGATTCTCGCGGGTAGTGCCGACTTCAAGACGGAACTTAGTCAATCTGATATGTTTGATCCAGTAAGCAATTTCTTTTTATTAATGTGTTATCTTCCATTAATTTCTTAATGTATATTTGTTTATATATATAGCAAGATAAAAGTAGGGGTTGTTTTTTTTTTTTTTT